CTGCCATAATCAATTTCACAATGCTCTCTGTCTGATAACAAGGCTATTTACATCCCTCAAGTATGATCAGAGGAAATTCACTGGAGGCTAAGTTCATGTGTGGACCTAGCAAATGAATTTTGGACTTCCACTGTCATCCATAGTCTTCTGCAAACCAGGTGCTAACAAGTTAAGCTTGGATACCATCCCTCCTTTGGATTGGGGTTTTATTATTTTCAATCCTTGTATCACAGAGGCTGGTGTATTTCTTTCATGTGGACTTAATTGACACCTCACTTAGATGGCTGCTTTTTTAAAGATAAGCCTTTAAGATACCAGACACTATTCTTTCTGATAGCCAGGCACCATCTAGTTTCTTTGCCACACTTGCAGTTAGTTATTGAACTAACTTATTTTTCTCTTTAATTCTTTCTTCCCCACAACTTAGCTAACTCAATCTAATGATAATTAACAGCTCCTTTTACTGGAACATCAGATTTTATTCCAATAAAGATAGACCCTAGAAATCAGAGTATTTGAAAAACCTAGAGTTAATAAAAAATCTACTCCCCACTAAAAATCTGCAGCACACTACAAAATACTGTATGGATATGCCAGAAGAAAGATGGAGAGGAGTTGAGAATGTGAAGTTGGTAATATTTGAACCCTAATATCATCTCCTATATATCCTTCTTAATTACTGTTTAACCTTATACATATGTATGTAATGGAGAAGACAAAGAATTTACATTTTCTTAGTACTAAAATATGTAAGGTTTAGGATAGTGAATGAATAAAATGATAAGCATTTGATCACATCTTCAAGCAGCTCATTTTCCATATGCCTTGGGAATAAATGAACTATACATCTACTGCGGAAACATTTCAAGAAGGGAAAATTACCTATTGCATTATATTCTTTGAGGGTGGATGATGTTTCATATTCTTCTACTGAAAACTCATCTAAGATTGGTTTATCCATCCTTTCTCCTCTATTTCCAATATGAATATCAGAATCTATCCAAGAAGGTAAGACATTATTAAAGTTCAATTAGGTGGTATCTTTAGGTATTTGAGTTATTTTCCCAGTACATACAAAAGACTCTAAAGTTGTGCCAACTCCAGATAACTTTCCCTAGCGGTAGGGGGCTATTATACAAGAATATAGAGAATGTAAAAATTATACTGCGCATTTCCAGTGCTCCATATTTTGCAGACTCTGCATCATTGAATGGTTCCATTTTTACAAATTGTATGTTATTCTGCAATGGTTGTTGAGTGGTATAAGGAATCTTGGTGGCACAACCTGGTGTCAGCTGATCACCAAAAGGCCTATGGTTAAAAACACATCAGGGACTTTGCAGAACAAAAGGACCTGGGGATCCGCTTCTGTAAAGATTGTAGCCCAGGAAACCCTAAGTGGCAATCTACTAGGTCATACAGGGTCACTATGAATCATAATAAAGTCAACAGCCTAGAACATCAATGACATTCTGTACATAGAAAACATCCTTTGAAATTATATGTTTCCTTGCCTTTCCTTTTAGAGTAAAAATTGCTATTCTGACAAATAGCCTGCTGAGAATAATGCTGATTAAAATGATTGAGCACCAAGATAAAAATGTATACTGTTGGGCAACAAAATGTTCTTAGATCAGAGACCATGACTAAGAGACATATACATCCTCTGTATCCTAACCCTGAGAAAAAAACTTCTGTAGGATGAGGCGCAGAGTTAAGTTAAAAATAAATAAATAAAATAACACTTTAAAGAGGTTTCTAGAAGGATTAGATAAATTAGCAAACAAGGAGAGGCATTACAAAGCTATTTATATATGCACACCTCTTTCCTCCAGAACAGTACATATATAGGAGTGCATATATAGTATTGGTGTATTATATATATATATATATAGTTAGATAACCATAGCATGCGCCTGGCCTCCTGAAGCTGTCCCATCCTAATAATGATTAAAACAATTATACATACAAGGGGAGCTTCAAATTTTCATTGTCTTTTAATTCCATTTTCCAGGAACTTTTTGCAGCTCCCTTGTCAGTAATACTGACAACAGCATCCATAATAAAAATGTGCGAACAGAACGTGCAGTGACTTCTTGATTATCTATGGGAAGCTCAGCTAATTTTGTGACAAATGTCAATATTTCTGCTTTTTAACACATCTTGGGACAATTCTCTTAATCATTAGTTTTAATGTGCTATGGTAAATATTTGGCTATTCATTAAAAAATTTAATTAGAATGAGTCGCATAGGCTAACAACAGCAACAACGAAAATGCAACATGTTACTAAACTGTGAATATTCGTTACTAAACTGTGAATATTTTTAGAACTGTGTTGCATTACTTGTGGAGCCCCTGGGTGGTGCTAAACCATAGTTTGGAGGTTTGAATATACTCCGAGGTTCTTCACAAGAAAAGTCTGTAGATTTACTTCTGAAAAACCAACCATTGAAAATCCTGTGGGGCACACGTCAGTTGTGATACACATAAAGTTGCCCTAAGTTGGAGTACTTTTCATTCCCTTTTGGGGTAAATAATCAATATTTTGCCTCTGATGAAATACATTGGTTACACAATTGATGTATGTATGGATTGTGATAAGAGTCGTATGAGCCCCTAATAAAACGATTTAAAAAAAATTAGACACCATTAGTTTGGACAGGTCAGGATGAGGGAGCATGTTGGCAGTTAGCAAAATGGCCTTCTGAAAAATGAGAAGGGAGAATCTGAATTTTGAGAGGACCACAATCTCCTACGCCATGTTCCACCCTTGCTCTTGTTCTCTGCCTAGTAGCTTCTTCACTGCCGCCTTCACATCCTTGTTCCTCAAGGTGTAGATGAGAGGATTGAGCATTGGAGTTATGAGTCCATAGAAGAGGGCTAGGAGTTTGCCCTTCAGTTTGGCCGAGCTACTCTTGGGAGCCATGTATGCATAACCACTAATGGCTGAGCCATAGAACATAATGACCACCAGCAGATGAGACCCACAAGTGTTGAAGGCCTTCTTGCGACCCTCGGGGGATTGGATCCTTACCACAGCTCTGACAATGTTGATGTAAGAGAATAAGATTAGGCCCACTGGGATAACCTTTATGACCACCACAGCTGCGTACATCTCCACCTCGTTGACCCACGTATCAACACAGGATAACTGAAGCATTGCTGGGACCTCACAGAAGAAATTCTCCACTCTGTATTGACCGCAGCGCGGTAACAGGAAAGTGAGTACCGTCTGGACCAAAGAGTTGCTGAAGCCTGTGACCCAAGCCACTGCTGCTAGTTGTCGACAGAGCCGAGAATGCATGATAACGGTGTAATGGAGAGGTCGGCATACGGCTACGTAACGATCAAAGGCCATGACTGAGAGAAGGACGCACTCGGTGGAACCTAGCGCGAGAAAGATGAAAAGTTGAGCGACACAGCCCACATAGCTGATGTTTCTCCGATAGCTCTGTATGTTTGCCAGCATTTGGGGGACTGTGGAGGTGGTATAGCATAGGTCTAGAAAGGAGAGGTTGGCCAGAAAGAAGTACATGGGACTGTGGAGTCTGGAATCAAGGCGAGATAAGAGAATGATGGCCGAATTCCCCAGGAGGGTCATTACGTAGAAGATGGAGATGGCCACAAAGAGGGCCATTTCTAGTCTCGGCCATTCCGAAAAGCCCACCAGAACAAAGCCATTGGGGTGATGGAACGTGCTGTTGGATCTTCTCATTGCCGGGCACTGCTTGCTAGAAACAGCAAGGTCGGAATGTTGGTAGTTGTTCTCCTGTGTTGAGAATTTAATGCTGACACATGAACCTGGGTTCCCCAGAGAAAGAAAGAAACCAAGTCGTTAAAACATTTATTGACTTTTATCGTCCCGTGATGAAAAGTGAGCGTGAATGTATATGTGTAGCTTTAAAACCGTGCCTATGATTTTCATCTAGTCACCCAAGAGATTTTACGAAAGTAAAGATCGTAAAGCAGTTCGGCTTATAAAAGGGTGGTGGATCTGATGAGATGGGAAAACTGATACTTCACTCGAGCTTCATTAAATCTCTCATGTACTCACTGTGGTGTCAAACTTCAGTCCCCTCATCTCACTACCTTGTCCTGCTGCTTTTCAACGCTTGTCTATTACAGTCACTGGGAAAGGGGCAACAGAGAGAAGCAACAACAACAAAAAGCATTGCTGTTTAGGGTTTCCAAGGCTGGAATCTTTACAAAAGCAGACATTTGCCACTTTTTTCCATGATTCAGCTTGTGTATTTGAACCACCAACCTTTTGGTTCACAGCCACGCACTTGACCGCCATGCCACCAGGGCTCCTTACGTGGAAATTATCACTTACTAGGCAGTATCAGTAAGAAAAGATAACTTATGTCCTCTTTTTTTCCTGTTGACTGTTCTTAAGTTAATATGGTTAAAATTCAAAAACACCTAATGCAATACATTCATGGAGTTTATTTATTATAATATTTGACCAAGGAAGTTGCCTGGGTGGCACAAATGGCTTACATTAAGATTGGTGTTCTATACCCACAACCCCTCACACTCCCACCCCTAGGAGTCTCACTGGAAAAGGTCTGGTGCTATGCTTCCATGAATATTACACCCATGAAAACTCCCCAGAAGCACTCCTAGCCTGTTACATGGGGTCACCAGGACTCGGTCAACTCAAGGTCAATGACAATTAGTAGGGATTAGCAGAGTTAGCATTTATAACACAGATGCTTATTGTTTATGTTCAAAATGTCTTATTCATATGAAGGATTACATATTCATATTCATTAATATGTTTGTTAACAATGTTTGTATTTTCCACAATGATCTCTTTCTTCCATTTGACCACACCTCCAGGTAGAAAAATGTTCAAAACAAACTTTGCTGTAATAAAGCTTCAGTGAGCAGTTCAAAACCACAATCTGTTCTGAGGGAGAAAGGTGAGACTTGTGACTCCCATAGTGTTACACTCTGGGAAATCTACAAAGGCAATTCTACCCTGTCCTATAGGGTCGCTACCTGTCACAATCCACTGGATGACAGTGAGTGTATGGAGGCCTGGTGCTGTAGTGGGTCACACGTTGACCTGATAAACTAAAAGTCAGCAGTTCAAAGCCATCAGCTGTTCCACAGGAGAAAGATGAGGCTTTTTACTCCCATAAACAGTTACGATGAAACATATAACTTTCCACTAGTTCCTAAATTCTTCCTCCCCCCACCACTATCATGATCCCAATTCTACCTTACAAATCTGGCTAGACCAGAGGATGTACACTGGTACAGATAGGAAACAGAAACACAGGGAATCCAGAACAGATGATCCCTTCAGGACCAGCGGTGAGAGTGGCAATACCGGGAGGGTAGAGGGAGGATAGGGTGGAAAGGGGGAACCGATTACAAGGATCTACATATAACCTCCTCCCTGTGGGATGGACAGCAGAAAAGTGGGTGAAGGGAGATGTCAAACAGTGCAAGATATGACAAAATAATAATTTATAAATTATCAAGGGTTCATGAGGGTGGGGGGAGTGGGGAGGGAGGAGAAAAAATGAGGAGCTGATGCTAGGGGCTTAAGTGGAGAGCAAATGTTTTGAGAGTGATGAGGGCAATGAATGTACAAATGTGCTTTACAAAATTGATGTATGCATGGATTGTGATAAAAGTTGTATGAGCCCTAATAAAATGACTAAATAAACAAAAACAAATGGATTACCAAAAAAAAGAGTTACAGTCTGGGAAAACCACCAAGGCAATTCTACCCTGTCCTATAGGGTCACTACCTGTCACAATCCACTGGATGGCAGTGTGTTTAGGGAGGCCTCGTGGTGTAGTGGGTCACACGTTGACCTGAAAAACTCAAAATCAGCAGTTCAAAACCATCAGCTGTTCCACAGGTGAAAGATAAGGCTTTTTACTCCCATAAATAGTTACAGTCTGGGAAAACCACCAGGGCAATTCTACACTGTCCTATAGGGTTCTTGTAGGATCAGAATTGACCCGATAGCAGTGAGGTAATAATGTCTGTTTCCTGGGAAAGCACATCTACACTTGGGTTTTGTTTATCGATGTAGACAGAGCTGTGAGAAAGATTCAGTAAATGATCTGGAGTGCACCCTGGGTACGACAGTTACCAAATATGTAGGAACACACATAAAAACACTGTATTTACGTGCTCCATTTTCCTCATCTGTAAAATAAAGATACATAATTCACATGGGAATTTTTATTCAAACAGTGATCTCTGAACAAATATAGGAGTTGATATTAAATAGCTATAGCAAACAATAATCATCGATGGGGTAATTATCTGAGTAAAAGGCTTTTGTAAGTATCTTGCATATCATATCGCATTTAATTCTCACACATTCCCAACTCAGGGACCTGGACTTACAGAGAGTTTAACTAGCTTGCCCACAGTCACATCAGCAGAGCAAGGATCAGATTCCTCATCTAGCTCCGAGGCAACCTTGTGCTTCTAAATGTGATTACATATTGCTACAAAAATTAATGCATAACCCAGTGATGTACAGACAGGCATTTACTTAGCAAGCTATTTTCTTTTTAGCATTTTACACTGTCTTTAAAGATCTAAAATCTGTCCCTCCCAAATAACTGTAAGTCAGAATTGAAAATCAATCTTTTGTCTGAATTAAAAGATGATGCAGAAAGGCTGTGCCCTGGAAAGAATAATGAGTTGATCTAGTTAGGACAATGAGAGAATAGTCAAAATGTTGGAAAGAATGAAACATATTAGGATCATTTAGAGATAATTACTATCCTGAGATTCAATTATTCAAAAATTTATTAAAATTAAATGTAAGAATTGAACAACTGTTAAAGGTGGAATATAAAAAAATACATTGTAAAAATGAATGAAATATTTCATATCAAAATAGAAAATAAAATAATCATCTCCAAGAATTAGATAGGGTGAAGGAAAAGCTACTTTAATGATAAAAATAATAGTATTTTTTTCTGGGTATATACTCAAGTACTCATAACTATTCATTTGTCAAGATACCCACCACTGATGTATTTACATTATTGATAAATTAGAAAGAGAGTCTTTTTAATTTTCATAATAAATATCTGTTGAAAATATTTTGTTTACCCACTGATTAAAGTACTGTACAGTAAAGAATAATGACTTTAAATAGCAATACCTTTCACATGCTCACAACATTCCAATATTATAAAATGGACATAATACAAATTATGAAAACTTTTCAAATATTGTTGAAATTTGTAAATAAACTCATTGTAAATATACAAAACTGATTAAAACTCATAACTGAGACTATAATTGGGATGATCTTTGTGTGATGGATTATTAATTATTTTTGTTATATAATTATTTGTGATTTTTTCCCCTTAATTTTATTGAACCATCAGACTTTCAGTTTATAATAAGCACATGAATTACATGTATTATTAAACAAGGCATCTCCTTAAAGTAGCATTTTTTGTTTTATCTTATGTTTTTCCGGTTACACTAAATGGTTTCCATTTTGTTCTTATTGTATGGTTAACAATAAGATATTTAGCTTTTATGCTTTAGATCTTCCGGCCCAGGATCTATGGTTTAATCATTCAAAGAGGTAATTTATGAAAATAGAAAATCACATATTATTATATCCGACTCATATAATGTTAATTTTATGTCACTGGGCAACTGACACAAATAATTAATACATGGTGGTTACTATGAAATTTAAGTGAACTGATGTAAAACATGTAGCAAAAGATGGATAAAATAAAAGATTTTGATTTTAATTGATTATTTTTATTGTGGTAATCTTACCATAGTCATGGCAACCAAATAAGTTTTATTTTAGTCATGAATTTCTTGATATGCATAATACAAAATATATGCATAATACAAAAAGTATTATTTACAGGTAGCAAGAAAACAAAATAAAATGTTTCATTCCTTTTAGTTTATGTATAATCATGATAAAATTTATATACTGCTCCCATGCCGGCACCATTCACCGTTCATGTTGTAATTTGCTATAAATCAGAAAATCTTTCTGTGGGGGAAATAAGAGGTCATTTTAAAGCACATAGAAATGTTTGTGCATGGGTAGTCATTTGGACAGCATAAGAGAAACTTCCAGACTGAAAAGGCACAATGAGTGGTATTAAGGCAAATAATGTAACATATGCCATAAATAATGGGTTACAAAGCTACATTTCACCTAATCCAAATTTTACTCCATGACCAGCTTTATTTCCATCTCTTCAGAGAATATTGTTCACTATCCCATTTTGGGGGGTGGGAGGAAACGCGGGAACAGAATTCTGGTTGTCATGGTGTTTCTTAGGAAGAATACTGTTAAGAATGACTTTTTGTTTTGTTTTGAAAACTAAGCATATAACCTAAAGGTGTTTTTAGAAAGCATTTTAAACATCCTATTTCGCTATTTTACCATGGCCATTCAAGAGGTTTCCCCTCATACTTTCTCCAATAGTCTATGAAACGTCTTTCTGTCTCTTTATGTTCAATAGAATAGGATACAATTTTGAGTGGGATCCATAATCAAATTGGTATGGGAAACAAATGAAATGTACATCTTTTTTGTATCATTTGTGCTATAAAATGAATATAATAAAAACTCACTGAAATTTTCACATGGAGTATGTTAACAAAAATGAACGTGGAGCACCCCTCACTCCTCTAATCCCCTAACTCCCCTAATAATATTTCCTAGATTAAAAGTAACATATTTA